TTTGATGCTTACTAATTGATGGTTTTATGGAGATATTTTTGATGCGTGGAGAATGGAATGGTGTAACGTAATTTCTATGACAGCCACGAAGTCACCAGATAAATTGCCAAGTAAACGTTTAGACTTAGATCGGATTGTAATTTTACAATGATATGGAGTCGACACACTCCTACTCACCCTAGAAACTACAACTTGTAAAGAATAAGGGGACATATTGAACTCACGTACTTCTATAATTGGAAATTGCGTCATCCTACCTTTTAGTCAATACACATTTGAAGAGGCTGATGATAAACAATGTTGCTCGAACAATCTTCAAAGTCCATTTACACAAGATTTGGACTGCACATGATGTTAGCTCACTTTCAAATTAGATTAAAAACTTTAGCATTTTGAAAGAGACTTGTTACCTGGTTCACATGAGATCTAATCCAAGACCTAACGTTCACATTAAACATGCTATAGATAAGTATATTATCCATCGTTGTTTACTGATTAGCCTTTTCGAGCTTTCCCATGAAGTACTAAGTAAATTGGATGAAAATGGTATCATGATGAGCTCAGTTGAATGTAAAGTAAATTATACCATTCTTGTTTAGTCCACCTATTGTATGGGCGTGTGATTGAGCCCAACTGCTTTCAAGCACAACAGATATGTGTCGTGCCATGACCGATTAGATGGCTTTAAAGAAAAAGAAAAAAGAAAACTATACAAATTAATTGATGTGATCCAGGATACGAGGGCAAGTTCGGGCAATGTGATCCAGGATACAAGGACAAGTTCAGGTAAGAATCCATTGATCGTTAAGGAATGGTCTATGACTAGGTCGCGAACGAATCGTGTCAAAAAAACTATGTGATTGCTTGTTCAAGCAACAGTGGACGAAACATCGATGACAACAAGCAAATGAACAAATTTCATGTTAGCGTGAAATAATAAAAAATGTGGATTAACTTGGTTCAACCAACACACGAGGAAGTTGTTTAGGACAACTATGCAACTACATAGTTATATAGGAGATGTGACCACATAGCCCCTTACTGAAACTCAGTTGAAGGTTGAAGATACAACTATGCGACCGCATAGTTCAAAATGGGTCGCGAATTTTTCAAATTTCGCCAATATTCTATTTTAGTTAAAACTCTTGTATGATATTTTTTTTATATCTTTACTGCTTAATTCATTTTTTTAAGTATGTTTTATGGTTTCCATATAAATATGATCCATTCCATTCATTGTAAAAACACACAATTTGATAGATATTATTGCGAGGGATATTGTTGTCTTCTCATTCTTCATTGAATTAATTTTGAACCTATCAAAAATTAAATTCTCGTGGCGTTCTACGATATAAGTAAGGTTCATAAGTTTTGTAATCACGGGGTCAAGATATTGTTAGCGATTGTATCAGTTCTTTGATTCAATAATGTATTGGGTCGAGCTTTTCAAATGTTAATTACTGGCTTTCTTGGGTTTGTTCTAATTTGTCATGGGTTCCGTATCAACTATTTCTATGTGGGTTCATATCAGTTGATATCAGAGTAAAGCTATAAAAATCAAGGGTATATCATTTTTTTCTTTCGTTTAAGTCTTTGTTTTTCATGCTCCGTATTCTTTGCGTTCTTCAATTTTTTCATCTCAAATTCATAAAATTTCAAAACTTGTTTGTGTTCCAATTTAACATCCAAATTAGTTTTTTTTGTTTTTTTGTTGGTATCTAGTTGAATTTTCGAGCAAAAAAAGAAAGAAAATTCGAAAAATTACCAGCAGCATACAATTTCTTTTTTTTTTTGCAAAACTTCTGCCAAGGTTCTAGGAGTATGGATGATTAGAGGCCGCCATTACCCGATTTTTGAATGGTTTGAATAGGGAGACAACTATTGTGATAGAATTGCAACATCATGCAGAGTTGGAAGACATGCTACATATAGCTATGAAAGTGGAAAGGTAATTGAAGAGAAATGGGACAACTAGATATTTATTAGGTTCTGACTCTTTTTGGAAATCGAAGTGAGATAACAATAAAGGTGATGTGACTGTTTCAAAAAGTAGGACTGGGTTACCGAAGGGAAGATAGGAAGTTGCTACTACATCCAAGGCAGATTCTCAACCCTCTAGGAATTGTGATATTAGATGCTTTAGGTGCTTGGGATCGAGACACATTTCTTCTCAATGTCTAAACAAAAGAGCAATAATCTTGCACAAAAATGGAGAAGAGGTGAATGATAGTGAGGGTGAATATGATAACATGCCGGAATTGAAAGGTGCTAGCAATGGTGAGAAAGTAGAGTAAGATGGCGAACTCTTAATGCTCAAATTAAAGTGGATAACTTGGAGCGACAAAGGGAGAAAATATTTCATACGAGATGCCGGTCAATAATAAGGTGTGTAGTATGATTATTGATGGGGTAATTGTACTCATGTGGCAGCACGTTGAAAAATTGGGATTAATTATGCTAAAACATCATAAACCTTACAAATTGCAATGATTGAATGAATGTAGAGAGGCTAAGGTAAATAGGCGAGTGTTGGTGAGTTTCTCAATTGTGAGGTATCATGATGAAGTGATGTGTGATGTGATTCATATGTATGCCATACATATTTTGTTGGAGAGGATATGACAATATGATATGAAAGTTATTCATGATGGGTACACAAATAGGTACAATTTTACTAAGGATGGAAAATCTATTACTCTTGCGCCATTGACACTACAACAAGTGCATGAATATCAAATCAAATTGAAAAGCGATGAAGAAAAAAGATTAAGAGAAAAAATGAGTGAGATTGATCTTTCACAACAAAATAGCAAGAGAAAAAATAGCGAAGTGGCTAAAAGTAAGAAAAAAATAGTAGAACTACAAGAAAGTAAAGATAAAAAGTTTTATGAGATGAGAGAAAAGTCGAAAATGAATTTCTTTACAAGAAGGAGTGAATTGAAGAGGGTAGTAGTTGAAAACCAACATATGATCTTGTTGGTTTATAAGTAGTTGAGAACCAACATATGATCTTGTTGGTTTATAAGGAGTCACTCATCAATCTTGAGAAATCTAATACACCATTTTCTAGTTTGACTATTTCGTTATTGCAGGAATTCGAAGACGTGATCCCAGAGAACATGCCTAGTGGACTACTATTGTTACGTGGATTCGCATCATTAATATTGTGAAAATTTATTTCCATAACCTCTTTTATTAAAATATTCCAAATTTACTATTATCAAATCCATTTTGATCCCAAACCTTATATCAATTCCACACTAAACCCAAACAACACTACAATCGCTGATGCCTCCGACCACCATCGTCGCCTTTAGCTCCGACCACCGAACCTAATGAATGATGGTTTGTAGTGATGATTTGTGCTGATGGTAGTTGAGGCGGCGACAACTTGCAAGTGTTACTTTTCATGTTTGCGTTACAATTAAAATGTTAATGATGCTTGTGGAAATCGACAATGGTAGCAGCAGCAACGGATGAATGTGTAACACAAATTACTTTCTGTTACAATTGATAAATGTGTAAAATTTGAGAATTAAAATAAATTGGGTAATAAAATGAAAAATAATTTAATTTTTTAGGTAGAGTTAAACTTTTCCATAAATATTTACTCTCTATTTTGGCTCCATTATTTTCAAAATATATTTTTTCAAAACTTATTTTTAACCACATTCTTCCATAAAATAATACTACACGTAAACTCAAAACTTTACATATCACACATTCTCTAAAAATCACCATTTCAAAATACATTTTTCTCTCAAAATCAGATGAAAAATGGAACCCAAACAAGGACTTAGCCCTACTTGATTTAGATAAAATTTAGATTTTTAGTAGATTTTGATAAAATTAGTTAAATGTGTAGTTAAAAAGATGATAAAATTGTAGATTTCAGAAATTTGTGATTGAAAAATAATAAATTTTAAGAAAAAGAGGCATAAGAGGAAAGTAGATAGAGTTGGGCAAAAACCAATTTGAACTAGTCAAATCGATCAACCTAATCCAAATCAACCGGTTTGAATCGATTTTTTAGTTCAGTTGGGTTAGGATCGGATTAGGAAATCAAATTTTTGGTCTGATTGGATTGGATTCCAAATTATCTATTAAAACCCAACCCAATCCAACCCAACCCAATAAACTAAAAAATATTAAAAAGAAAATTAGTACTTAAAACCAAAAACCTAATTATCAAATTTCTCATCTGCCTCACGTCTCTCTACCATTGTCTTTTCTGCCTCTAATTGTTGCTTGTGTCTCGGCTTCTCAACTCAATTTTTCGACTTGATTTTGACAAAACATTTGGATTGAAGGAGGAAATTCCCAATTACAATGTAGTGTTAGCTAAATTTATAATTTAAATAATTGTTATTTAATTGATCCAACTTTAATCGACTTGAGACTTTTCAAATCACAATTTTTAATATAACTGAAATTGGTCCAAATTAAAATGGTATCAAATTTAAAAAAAAAAAAAATTGTTCAAATTCAACAAAAAAGGTCCCAACAATTGGGCCCCATAAAAAAATTGTCCCAACTTAAATTGTACTCAAGACCAAATCAATCAACCCAACCCAAACCGACCTCGGGTCGGTTTGGATTGAGTTGGGTTTTAATTGTGATTGAGTTGATTTCGATTTGAATTATTTTCGAATCGAACATATTGGGTTGGGTTTGAGTTGGGCTCAAAATCAATCCAATACAACCCACATCCCGGCCCTAGAAGTAGAGATAGAAGTCTCGGCCCCACTTGTGGCCATATTCTGTCATGGATTTGATGGCATACCAGGCCTGGTCCATCATACAAAAAGAAGGCTATGCTTGGAGTGGACTGTGGCCCAATTTTATTCACAAATGCTTGACGCCTGAAGGCCCAGATCCTTTATTGTTGAGCCCAAGTCATACGCCTACGTCACAGGCCAAACGACACAGTTTCGCATCTAACAACATTTTCTTTTCCCGAAACGAGCGATAGCACTGAACAGTCTCATTGTTTCGTAAAAATGTTGGTGGTGGATTCAGGTTCAACCATAGCTGATGAAGAAAAGACGGTGGAGCCGCCGCCTTCGTCGAAGGTGGCATTTTCCATCGGTCTACTAAAGCCGGTGGAAATCCAGTTCTGCCGCGCCAACTCCGCCATCCCAGCACCTCCAAACACCCCCTGGTCAATGGTCGCCATCAGAGATTACGGAGACGATAATAAGAACCCAACGATCATCTTCCCTCCAATCAACCACGAGAACCTTCATATATCTGAAGATACTCCTCATGTTTACGGCGAGTCATCGATAACATCTTCACCGTACAATGATGAATATTCCGAGTCCGATTCATATTCGTATTCCGATTCAGATTCAGACTCACACTCAAACTCCTCAGCCACATTTTCCCCGTCTGATTCCAGCGCAGTAAGTGCATCTCCTTTGTCACAAAGTCCCAATGCTAAGTCAGCTGGTTACATCATCGCACTATGGTTCGATTCATGGGTGGAGATACTCCGTTCCAAGTTGAATAATAGCACAACTCTAATCTGGAATAATTTGGCTTCGACGCTGAGGGCGTCGTTGACTTTTCGATCCGCCACAGTGACGGCGATGTTGCTAATGTTTCTATATTTCCGCCGGAGGAGGAGACTGAGGGAACAGGAAGAAATTACGAATCAGCTTATTCGCATTATCAAAGAGAAAGACGAGGTAATTTTCTTCGCATTCAAACTGTTTGTGAAAAAACCCCATCGAATTTGTGAAATCACTAAGCTCATTATGATACTGGTAATTGTTGAATCTATTTGCAGAAAATCAAACACCTATTGGATCAAACTGCAAGGATGAATCAAGCTTTGCTAGCATTTCATAGAGTTCCCAGTAGCTCTAGCACTTAGCCGATCAACGAATTGGCCTAATGGCCTTATTTTTGGCTGTAGTGCTGCTGCATAGTGTATAAAATCCTTTTGCTTTGTCATGCTCTTTATATTATGGAGAATGCTTGTTGGTATCCATGAATTCCAGAACCATGCTGATAACCAGAAAATGTCTATTTTCTATGAGTCGAACTTTGGAGTAGCGAGTAACATAGTGTCGTGTAATCGAGTTGTATGTAATCCAACATAAACAAAATGATCAAAGGTAAAGACGTGTTATTCGAGCTCCCTAGACATTGTCTAGATTTTTATTCAAGACTTATCATTTAAGGCCTGTTTGGCAGCATTTTTGGGGTCCGTTGATTGTAAATGTGGAATTTAGGTGGAAAGAAAATGAATTACAAAGAAATAAATTGCCTAGAATTTGTTTACTGAGAATAATAATTAATTGTGTTTGATTGGTATAATTTTTCACTTGAAAAATGTTGAAAATTTGGTATCCGTTTGACTTCGTTTGTCTTGAAAATTGTCCAATGAATTTTTTTACCATTGTATCTTCCAATTGCCAAAAAAAAAAAAAAAAATTACCATACCGAATATCATTCGTTTGTCTTAGTTTTGCATAAAAATTGTCAATAAAAGTGATAAAATTTTTTACCATTGTGTTTAGAATTTTTTCNGAGCTTGTTTGGTACGGATTAAAATCCAATCAAAATTGAAAATATAGTCGTTATTGGGTCCCACTCGTCTAATAAAAGTCAACTCCAACGACTATATTTTCAATTTTAATCTGATTTTAATCCCTTCCAAACAAGCTCATAATAATAAAAAAATCAAAAAATCCGAGCCGGCCCAGCTCGGCCAGCTAAAGCTCGGGCCGAGCCTCATTTTTTTTGTCGGGCTCGGTTCGGCTCGAGCCAAAAAAAACTCGGACTCAGCTCGAGCTTTTTCTTTTTTCGGCTCGGCTCGTTGACATCGCTACCAAGGAATGTGGCTTGTGTGAGACAAAAGCAAGAAAAAGAATTTCATGGAATAAAAAGGCTTCCAACAAGCCGTTTCCACAAAACCAAGGAATGTGGCTCGTGTGAGACAAAATCCAAAAAAGGAATTCCATGGAATAAATAGGCTTCAAACAAGCTCAAAGTGGGAAATGGAATTTGGATTCCATTTTCCATGGAAAAGATTGGCCAATCAAACAGGTCCTTACTTCTTCCTGATTTTTGTGAAAAAGATATCTTAACTTTGTCTAAAAACACTTCTGGCCAGATATTTGAGAAAGATACGCCCCTGGTAAAGCCTACAAACATGCAAAGGCACATCTAATGCACAATAATGAACAATAAAAATTTAATTTTTGTTCCTTTAATTTCATCTAATTTAACTCCTATGTCAAGAGTTTCATCCAGGGGATGGAGCATGCTATAATTTTCCACAAAAAATAGAAATTACATACCATACAAGGAAAATTATATCCACGAGTTTGTGAAACCATAAAATTCAGCAGCCAGACCATTGTTTTGAATTCGTAACTTAATCAAGCATTTAACCTAACACAATTTTGCTTACATCTGTAGCTTCTGTATGTTATTTCAATACAATCCACAACAATGCTTCGACGTTTTTTAACAACCAAACAATCTTCGAAGATGTTCTTCCAACCCACACCTCCAGTTAAAGATCAGTATTATCGACCCGTCCTAATTTAAGCTGACTGAACTGATAAAGAACCAAAAACTAAGAAAAGAAAATGTTCCATTTTGAATAACCTTGTGAAAAAGTAAGGGAGTTCTCGTTCCATGTCTCTGGCTTTACATAAGCAGTATAATAACTTGTAAGACTTAAGAGCATGATCGTCGTACAATCTTGAGCTGATGATTCTTGATCGCCCATCTGAAATTAACCGGGTATACTGTAAAAACAATACATGCAATTAAGACAGAATGCAAATCATCAATTATCAAATTATACATCGACCATGATTTATCAAATAATAACATAACAACATAACAATCCAGAAAGCATGATGCATTTATAGGTCTCTAAGGTGAGTGTAAGTAGGACACAAGAATTTTAAGGAAGATAGAGGGAATTGTTCTAAGGTTGTAGACTATTGAACAAATCGATATCACTCATAAAAGACCGAACTTTTCCTTTTCGGCCCCTCCAAGGTAAATAAGTAGATGGTTGTGCTACATGTACATAATAATTTACATAATGGTTTAATTACACATAATGTGGCGAGATATGATTGAGTTAGAATTTCTTCAACCAAATAAAAAAATAAAAATTTTCCACCCTCTTTTTGACACCTCATCTGTATAAAAACCATTATGTAACTCCATTGTGTACAAGTAGCATTATTCATAAATAGAAACATTACTGCCAATCTCTCTCTCGAACTGGGTCTCTTCAACAACTATTGTAGCCACCCAACCCAATTCAACCTCAAATTCAAAACAACCAACACAACCACTGCACAAACAGACCTTATACTTGGATATCAAATAAAATCAAGCTCTATCACATTCAAGGCTTCACCCTTATATCCCATTATCCCAAAAAAAAATAATAATAATAAAAAAAGAACTTATCTGCAATTATCAATGTACAATGGATAGCAAGGGCGAGAGTGAACGAGTAAATCTAACCAAATGAAAACAGTACCTACTACCCACAATGGCAAAGTGGTATACTCTTTTGTGATAGGTGTTGTAACACTAGATTGGAGGGTAAATTAATATCCCAAATCCATGTACTACAAGTCCTTGTGATATAGCAGCATGCTTTACAAAGAAATGCGTAGTACTGTTGATAATTAGAGTTCCATGATAACAATGTCAGATAAAATTGTAACACATTATGAGTTTAGTTTAATTAATTGTACAAAAGTTACCAAAATTATACTCTACCAAAGTTTTCATGGTAGAAAATGTATCTGAAAACACAAATTTTTATTGAATGCAAAATCAGAATGAACTTAATAAATTTACAACCAAATTTGTAACTGGAAATTGCAGTACCTACAGTGTTGCTCACTGAAGACAGTATAGTAGCTAGCTCCTAGATCCACTTCTCGGATGCGCTGAATGCCGAATATCAAACTGATCTACATTCACCAAAGAAGTAACAGTCTCGTTCCGGATCCTCTTAATATTGGGACTCACCAAGCCTCTATGCCTAAACCCATACAAGTTCAGCACTTGATAATCTACAAAGTTGAAATTCCTTATCCTGCTCTTCACGCACCTCTCAACCGGGAAAAATGTAGACGAGCAGATTTCAGAAGTCACCATATTCGCGCGCAGTCGACNATACCGATCCACCAAACCTGCCCAATATCCATGCAAATAATACGAATTCTCAACAAAAACCTTGTCCATCCACTGACCCTTCTGAGAAATCAGCAAGTATATCAATGCAGACTGATCATCAGCCTCAAATGCTGGCCGACCCTTCAAATTTGCAGTCAATATCTTTCCGGCCTCCTCACGAATTGGACCTTTTGGTCCCATTGGCGCCCAAGTATCCAACAAATCCAAAGACCATTGACAATTCCTGAACAAGAAACTACCTGTGTTCAACGCGATCCACGACTTCTGATCAAACAACAAATCGGGGTACCCGTGGATAACCATATTGTAATCATTGTACTTCGAAACAGGTATCTCAAACACCATATCAGTAAACAGAGCATCACTATCCATCCACCAAATCCACTCAACTTCAGGATGAGATAACATTAGCCTCCTTAACAACGGCAACTTCGCCCAATACCCCGCCATTTCCGTATCCAAATGGGCCATATTATACACAGTTTCTATCCCATGAATTCTACAGTAATCAATCTTATTCTTAATAGCCTTCAATAAGTAATGATCTCCTATAGCATTATCACAAGGGTTTGGGGGAGAGCCAGTAACAAGTAAGATCCGGGGTTTTCCATGAACATAATTGGGGAATTGAGGGTTTTTCTGAAGCCATACCTTACGGTCTTCATCCCATGTACTGATTCTAGGCCCAAGAGTGTAAGTAACATTAGGGTTCAAGAATTCTTCAGTAGGGTCATCCGGGTCTGTTGGGTCCTTATCAGACCGGATCTCGGCCAGGATCCGGTTCGTCTCTTCAATTAAGTGCTGGTTCTCAACATCCGCCTCGGAGGAAACGAGGCTTCCAAGCCCTATTGTACCACGGAGTACGAGGATTGTCACAAATCCACAGAGGATAGTGATCTTGATGTTGTTAAAAGTCTTCTGGATCTGCCGGCCACGGGGGATTACAGAGGCGGCTCGTCCACGAACTCCATTGGCGGCAACAGTTGTCGGCAGCCCGCTGGATGCTCTCTTTTGAGCAGTAAACGTACTCTCCGAACCCATCAATTAAAAAAAAACCTCTGTATATTGTGTATATGGGTTTTTGAGCTCAACCCTTAATTTATCTATCAAAAATGGCTACTGCCCGGTCGTGTAAATTTGTCTGTGTCTGCATATGTGTGTATATAATAGAGAGAACAATATGTCTATAGAGAGAGAAAGTGAAGAAGTATATAAACAGCACCGACTACTGAATCGTGTTTTTCCTTTTGTTTGATTCATCCATTGTTTATCATTTTTGATGGAGTGAAGGTGAAATATTGTAATGGAAATCCCGCTGTACAAGGGCTGGATTTAACGCGTATAGGTCAAGCCATGTTCAAGCTGTTTTGAGGAATTTCATGTTTCTAGGGTTTTACTTTTTTTCCCTCCCTCTCTCTCTCTCTTTCTTGAAATTGATTTTCGGCCATGCAAATTAGAGAAAATAGTGCATTCATAGTTGCTTGATTTGAATAGTATTCGACTCTCCATCACTTGATTCTAAGTGGATAAATTCTTACGTATTTGTGTTGTATCTACGAATTTAAGTTTGATTCGCTAAAAAGATAAGATAGAAGAATGAGTGTTATTTTAAAATCGTGCCTTGGTCGATGGGAGTCTTATTGATCAAAATGGTTGAAATTAAGAATTTCAATTGAAGAATGAGCAATGTTCTTTTGAAACGGTGCCATGTTTCACGATTTTTTTACGGGTTAAATCTACCAATGAGTCAATGACCATCCAACTTCTTTTCACTACTTTCATTAATTTTAAAAAGGGTAAAACGGTAATTTTTATTGTATATAAAATAAATTTTAAAAATTAAAAACTTATTTAAAAAAATTGATTTAAAAAACGTTACTTAAAAAAATAAATTTAAATTTAAAAAAATGTTAAATAAAAAGTTATTTAAAAAAAACGTTCCTTAAAAAAAATTAAATTAAAAGTTATTTAAAAAAAACGTTCCTTAAAAAATAAAATAAAATAAATTTTACATTTTTTTAAAAAAAATAAAATGAAAACTTATTTTAAAATGAACGATTTTAAAATTAAGAAAAAAAACTTTTAATTTTGTTTTTTTAAATTATTCTTTATATATATAATAAAAAGTTATTGTTTTACCCTATTCAAAATTAGTGAAAATGGTGAAAAAAAAAAATGGGTGATCACGATGAAATGTTATATGAAATTAGATGATCATGCTGAAACGTTATATGAAATTAAGTGGCAATGGTAAACTAAAATCAAATTTGGTGGCTATGTTGATACTAAATATAAAATTGGGTGGTCATGATTAAATAAAACTAAATTGGATGGTCATTGATGAATTTAACCATTTTTCTCTGATCAAAGTCGTAAAGGTTAAGAATTTCAAATAAGGTGGACCCAAATGAGACAAAATCGTTTATTTGTCTAATTCTTTCGTGCTCCAGTGATTTTTATAGAGCGAGCATGTTCATTTGCTAGCTCACTCGAAATTTATTTCTCTTTTCTTGAAATTAATTCCTATCAATGGAATCTAATGAAGATCAAGAATTTATACTTAAAATGGATTTACTATTTTTGAAGAATATTTGATTGATGTTTGGAAAGGAGTTGCTATCTTTGGAGAAAATTTGATTTAATTGGATATTGTTCAAACTTTCGTAGTATTGTGGTCATGTCTACGAATTTGATTCATTAATAAGATGACGTAAAGGTTAAGAATTCCAATTTAAGATGAAATTAAAAAAATAATATACACACTGTCGTAAAAGCTTTTTTCATCTCATTCTTGCTCTCAAATTAACGTACATTGTTCCTAATTATGATTTTTCTCCAAATTTTTCTTTAAGATGAAATAAAAAGATTCATTTAACCATCGTATTTTTAAACAAGCAAAAATAATAATGCAAAAATGCGATTAACTATTTGACTCGTTTTAAAGTAGTAAGTTTACAATACTTTGGATGATAATCATGATTAAGAACAATATTTTCTGATTAATAAAATATTGAAAATAAGAATGTGACTAAAGAAAAAAAACTAAGGATATAAACGTAATAATAAATAAAGGTTAATGACCTTCAATATAATTAAAATGTAGTGCATTTATATATAAAAAAAAAGGTGGTGCGAATATAACTACCTTTTTTTAAATTTAAATAATTTGGGCTTCATATTTATGAAATTAAAGACAAAATTACTTTAACTCGTTATTTCTATTATTCAAAATATTCCCCTATTTTGGTTTGTTTTATCTAATCATCATTATTATTGGTATCTTGAAAATAGTTAAATTCGTGATAAGGACTACCCCACAACTCACCAACTCTAAGGGAACCACATAAACCTAGTATTTATATATATTAAAAGTTTTTTTTTAAGGTAAAAGGTTATTGATAATTAATTAACTGGATTTATAATGTTGTTTCAATCAAGTTTATATCTACCTTGAAAAAAAAAAAAATAACATCATGTCTAATTATCTCCACTTATCCGAAATATAATTTATTTTGCATTTATGCTGGTATATTATTCTATGTATACTAGTGGGGTGAACATGCATTGCACGTTAGTCGGATATTGTTAAAATAAGTGTCTATAATTTGAGAAAAATTCATTTGTACTCGTGAAAGATATTTATAAGTTGGGTCGAATTGACTTACTTTTCATCTATTTTCTTTTTGTATTTTCAATAGGAACATTTTGTATTCATTTAAATTTATTCCTCTTTTCCTTTGACTCTAGGAGGAAGACATTTGCGTAAAATAAAATAAAAAAATATTCATTTTGGGGCAAAGGCTCGAGCCCGTAAAATAAAAATAAAAAAAAAAAATTGAAAACATCTGCGTGCAACTGTAGGAGGAAGAAGGGAAAAAAGGAAAATTAAAAAAAAATATTAGAAGTAGTTGCCTGCACGTTGCGTCAGTTCTCTCCACACGAGAAGAGGGGAAAAAAAAAAAAAAGAAGCCAGCTTGGCGTGCTCAAGTCGAGCCTCAATTTTTTGGCCGACCTTTTGTACGGCTCATGCCAAAAAAAGCTCGAACATTTTTTGCTCGAAACGAGCCCGAGCTTCAAGTTTCAGCTCGTTGACATGGCTAACTACAGGCAGTTTAAGAAGACCATTTTAAAGTTCAGATTATTAGTAAATTGCACATTTAACTATTACTGAACAAAGGTTATTACACCCACGTGATATCATTTTGAAATGGAAACCCATTAAAATGTTACACAAGATGTTGTGAAGTGATAAAATTACCTCATCTATGGACTCCTCTACGCAGCCATCCATTGATGATATTACAACTGTTTTATTGTTTTCACACCATAAGAAAGCAGGAACTAATGAACAGGCAAACAAATGAAAATCTACTCATGTCAATTGATATTCTACAATAAAATGTGTGATTGAGAAGATAACCAACTTTTGATGCTTTTTAGATCGTTCAATAAACTCTTTAGGAATATCAGTATGAAGCTAGAATTATTCGAATATCAGCTGGTCTGTGTTTAACCACATATGCAATCAAACAAATGATTGGGTGTTAAATCTCACATGATCATCAACTAAATGAGGCCAGTCGCACAAATAATTTCATACGGAGAGGATGCTTACAATCAAGGAATGGAATAAGATCAAAATGTGGTGTATCTTCTGCTTCGCCTTGCCATCGTTTTATACGAACAACATTTTCTGGTTGAAGGCTACTTTATAAAGCATGACCACTGATGTAAATAACCTTTGGAGGATCCCTGAAAGGTCTTGTGTTGGGAGTAAAAGAAGTCTCACATCGGTTGGGAGAAGAAAAGAAATCCACTATATAACTCAAGTGGGCTACTCCACCCATTGCCAATCGATTTTGGGTTGAAACCTCACTTAGATTTGGTGGTGTGGGCTTGGACCCGATCAATTTGCTCATTATTTTCCCTACAACATCTTGGAATCACAAAATCACAAAAAAATTGAAATAGACTATGGCACTGCAGTATAGTATCGAAACACTGTGGTAGGTACATTTCTCGCTTCTTCATAAGTAGACCTGTAAACAAATGAATTTATGTAGTAGAATTGCATCATCATGCACATACCATTCCGATGTAGGAAGTTGAAGTCAAAGGAACCGGAGTTTGAGTAAAATGATGTCAATAGAATAAGCAACTTTGTCAACACAAGTACAATTCACAATGAAGAGATCATTAAAATTATAACCAAGTATAATTATCCTTTTCACTAAAAGCACCAACCTTTATAGCATAACTACAATTTCAGATAATGTTAAACTTTACAGCTATACTTTGTAAATTCATTAGATGTACTAAAATTCAACTCAACAGCTGCACGTACGAGAACAAAAAGAAAATAAGTTTCAATGAAATCAAAGTTGTGTATATCCCTTAGGGCTACACAAAAAAATCGAGAAATCGCAAGCCGAATCGAAACCGTTAATTTGGGTACATGTCGACCCGCGGTTTTTTTCCCCTCAAACCGAACCAAACCATTTCAAAATGNTTTGTGGTTTAGAAAGAACGAAAGATGAAGCGTATTGATTGTGTGAAAATGTTAAAGTTCCCTAACTAGTACTACTACATTCTACTTTCTTAAAGTCGTTAGAGAATAAAATTTGTCAACTTCCAATAAACCCGAACTCTATAATTCTTTGTACATTTAAACATATTATGTTCAATCATTATTTTTCATCTCACTAGTAGGGTGGAAGGAGTTTTAACCAAACCATTACAACAGAATGTGACTCCGTCTTTATCAACCGCTATATGACAATATGAAAGGCAACAAAAAAAGGTAAATAAAAAAGAAGAAATATATATTCGTTCTATTAATATCTTTTAGTAACCAACTTTGAAAATAATTTATTCACGGGTTTCGTGGGAAAGATGAATGTAATTTAACATTAATAGTTCTCGTTTAAACTTATATGTTAACTTATTTTATATATATTATTATAATGTCGATAGGTAAAGCGCGGATTAAAACCGAACCAACCCGCAAATTATGGTTAGTTCGAAAAATAAAATGGTTTGGTTTGGTTTGAAAAAATTTAAAGATATATTCGTTCTATTAACATCATTTAGCAACTAATTTTGAAAATAATTTATTCACGAGTTTCGTGGGAAAGATGAATGTAATTTAATATTTAATATTATTAATTCCCGTTTAAACTTATATGTTAACTTATTTTAAATATATTATTATAATGTCGATAGGCAAACTGCGGATTAAAACATAACCAACTTGCAAATTATGGTTTGGTTCGGTTCTAAAAATAAAATGGTTTAGTTTGATTTGAAAAAATTCCAAACCGCATGAAATTGTTTGAATTGAAAATATGGCACAAACCGCTTGAATCGAACCGCGTTCACCCCTAATATCCATTAACAACATAAAGAAAAAACATGCACTACACAAAATTAATACTAGAAGTAACACAACATATCAATTATATCATTTTATTAAGAACCAAACTTACAGGTTGTATATTCACTTAATCCATCCACTAATTTCCCTGAAATAGCACTATAAGTAATTACTCTAGAAATACCCTCATCTAGTGTACTCTTTATTCTTAGATCCTGATAATGTTCAACTATAACTGCTCTTGTTTCGACTTGCAATTCTTGTCGGCTTATATTCTGCAATTCTCATACTTTGGCGTATAATTCTCGACGTCATGAATTTTGAGATTTTTTTTCATTTGGCATAGATCTCTCGGTGAGGCTTCTTTCGTAGTTCATAGCTTCCAGCTCTATCCTCACCGGCATCCATAAGACAAAGAACCAAAGATAAGAGTCACATTCTGCTGTAATGGTTTGGTTTTGTAAATTTTCACCAAAGGTCAAACAAAAACAGCAAGACAAACCAAAACACTAAACAATATAGACCTCAAGAAACTGGAAGAAGCATACACAACGACAGTAAAATGAAAGTTTGAGGGATCTAATTGCAAGTGTATAGATCAATTTTATAGGAATTATTTGAGGCCATCTTGTGCAATTGAAGGAGAATGGAGGCAATTAGGGTTAAGGAAATTTGTAACGAAAAGGGAATGGCCTCACCTCACACGACGTCGTTTCGGAATAGACTTAAAGAAAAACACTTTGTAAAGATGATGGAATTGAAAAAGGAAAAAAAAAGGAGTTCAAACAATTTATTGGTTATCACAATTAGATAGAAAGAAAATGAAAGCGTTTTTCACTGTGACGCAAAGGAAAGAAGAGCTCTCTTTGTGCCAACAGCAGCCGTTCCACTCACAGCTGAAAACCCATTAGTAATGCCTTCAGCAGTCAATATTCTTCCATATTCATCCATGCACACTCATTACCCTTTACCTCCATAGCACCACCTCCCCCACTATAGAGGCTCAGCCTCTCTGGAAATGCCCATGTAGTCATTTCAAAACTAGGTACATTTAAACCGGTCTGATCACGAGACAAGGCTACCATTACCTCGAACACTTAAAATCGACAATACTCAAAATCTAATTGTAGAAGATATAAGATCGACAATCCCCAAAATCTCGTCTTAAAGAGTGTGAAAGTACCAATTCAGTTTGACATTGGACATTTTTGTTTTTAAAATAAGTACTATGGAGTCGAATAAATTCAATAATAGATGCGTGTTAACATTTGAGCCTTCCTTCTCTTTTTAAAACCTTTTTAGTCAACAACTTTAGTTACAAACACTTAGCATTTCCTAGGTCCATGCTGTATCATAAATAAATTATCAATCACCTAATTGGTAAGAATGGTCACAAGTGTAACAACCTTAAATTTATCCGAATCTTCAACAACTTTGTCTAATGTCTTGACAACATAGACTTAGATTGTAGGAAAGCAAAGAATTTCATCATAGAAAACCTTATCGTTTATTAAGTCAGGAAGCATAAATGATGCATATTATCCGTATGTTAATGTAACTAACAGAGGGAAGGGAAGTGAACTACATGTGTTAATAAACCATCTCTTTTCCCTTAGCAAAAAATTCAGACCAGAAGCCATAACACATCATAAGCAATTGAAGCGAAAAAATGATGAATTGCATATATCTGTTTGAAAAATATCTCAGCATCCGACGGATTAAATCCAAGCAGAGAGAGGATATTTCATAGAATGCTAAAAATACTTACATGTCGCCACC